GGTAAGGTTGGTACTTAAACATATAAATGGAAAACTAGAGTCCTTAAGGTAACAAAGGCAACAAAGGGAGGGGACAGGGACAGGGCATGACATATTATATCCAGCAATCCATATGGGGACTGAAAACTTTGCAATGATGACAATTACTGAAGATATGAATCAACTAAAATAGTTGACAGGGACAATTCTTCCATCTTTGAAAATATCTACATCAAATCTGTTTAAATAGATTTTCATCTGCATAATATAACACATTCTGACAACACCACCACCACCACCAATGTGGTCAGTGTTGTGCCAATAAATGTTTAATAACTGAGGGACACCCCCCCCTCCTTGAGTGCACAAATATTTGTGCACCGGGCTACTAGTATTTATATAATGAGCAATTATTAAACACATAACAGACATTATACAAGGTATTTGGATTATGCCCTGCCCACATGGAGCTTATAACCTACCTAGAAAAACAGTACAAATACATGTGCTGGTTGTCACAATGGAAGAGATACTTCTCTCAAATTTAATAGGATGTGTTATATTTCAATACAACAACAACAGAGTTAAATTAGAAGCCAGTAACAGAAAGATCTCTAGAATTTCTTCACAAACTTGAAAACCAAGTAAAACACCTATAAACCACTCATGGGTTGAAATAGAGTCAAACAATTAAAAGCATCAAATTAGTGGAATCTCCCTCATTGAGTACTCAGAACTTTATGGCACTAAACGGTTACATTAGAGAAGATTTTGAATAACTGATCTCAGCTTCCACCTTAATAACCAGAAAAAGAAGAGCAATACAACCAAAAAGATGCAGAATAAAGAAAAAAATTTCAGTGTGTCCCACATATGAGTGACATGATATGGTTCTTGACTTTTTCTGACTTATTTCACTTAACATGATAATCTCAAGATCTATCCCTGTTGTTGCAAATAGCTGAAAGCAAATGAACAGATAAGAAAAACAAAAATTCATGACACAGATAACAGTATGGTGGTTACCAGAGGGAAGTAGGTGGGAGGTAGTAAAGGGTAAAGGGAGTTAAATATTTGGTGATGGAAGAAGATTTGACTTTGGATAGTGGGCACACAATGCAATATACTGATGATGTATCATAGAATTGTACACTTGAAACCTATATAATTTTATGGACCAATATCATCCCAAGAATGGGTGAGGCTTGAGCCCTTTTCAACTTAAGGAGACCCATGGGCTTGAGGACCTTGAGGGGCAGGCCCCACCAGTGCTTCACCCAGAACTTTGTAACATGTGCTTCTAGCACCTTTTGAATGTCTGTATCGAGAAAGAAGGCCCCGTGAGAGGCGTTCAAGCAGGGTTCCCAGCCATTTAAGATTCCCAGATTTTTGGTTTCCATGTGAGTGTCAGCCGTGGCATAAGAGTGGTTGACAGGAAGCCAGGGTCCATGCACACTCATCAGGTTCTTGCTCATCTGTCCCAACTTTCTGCCCAAGTGGCCTTTTAGCGTGTTTTCTAGATTTTTGTCTAAGTTCCTCAGTAAATCACTTCTGGAGTCCCTTCTCCAAAGCATCACATCACTTTCTGACTCCTCAGAGTCTCCCCTCTGAAACGTCACTAAGGAGATTTCTGAGCCCCTGGAGAGATCTTCTGGGACCTTCCCTGTATCGGGGCTTAGCTGAGGCCCCACGTTCTGTGCATCGTTGCTGCTTTCACCTGTGAGTGAAGAGGGCTGTGAGGGCTCATGCTTGTCCTTTGCCTGACATGTTCCTGGTAATTCGCTCTGATGTTGCCCTAGTTCTGGAGGTTCTCGGATCTTGGGGGACAGCTCCCAGCTGTGTTGCATATGCGAGTTTTGGGGATGTTGCTCCAGCTGCTTCCGGGGCTCAGGGCTGATTGGAAAATTCTCAGGAAGGATGCTGTTCTTGGGAAGGTTGGCTGTGAAGACACTGAAGACTTCCTGAGATCTGTTGACTACAGAGGATAAATCCCACCCACTTTCTACTTGCTTCTGCAACAAGGGCCTTTCTGGATGTTGAATCTCAACTGGGATTAAAGATTGTGGCTTATTCTGGGCTGTCGGGCATGATACTCCACAGCCCCTCATCTGAGGTGGAGAAGAAGGTGGTAGGGTTGGTAGAGAGGATGGGAGATGGCCCCGGGCCTGGACCTGAGCCAGAGGTGGGGGCTGTAATTGAAGCATGGTTGGAAGCAAGGGTGGAGATTGGAACTCCAAGTGAGACATGTGCTGGGAATGGGAGAGCAGTGGAGGCATTGTAACCTGCAGTTGAACTGGGCAGGCACTCGAGATGCCATTGAATAAGAAAGGTGGAGGCTGTAATGTGGAAGAGCCCTTGGATGTCCAGGCAGTAGCCTCCAGGGATTCGCTGTGCAGGGAGGGGAGACCCCAAAAAAGCTGGCTGTAGAGCTGCAGAGGACTATGCAGTTGTTCTTGTTCGTCCTCCATGCTCCAGAAGGGTTGGGGGGTTGTGGTGTCCTGCTCAGCACCCAGTGATTTCCACGTATTCCCCAAAGAGTGCATGTCTGGGTTCATTTGAGTTATACATATTGTATCTTTTTCATTTTTTTCAAAATCTTTACACCTGATTATCTTTGTGATATGTATCTCCAGGAGGTTCTGCTCATCAGCCTCTGCCTGTCTTGTCTGTGGGGTCTTCCTGGAACGAGGCCTATGGTGGGTGGTGAGACAGGTGCTCTTGCTGGGACTCCCACTGTGATGAGGCTGAGAGGCATGAGGCTTTGGCAGCCACCTGCCACCAGGACAGGGCTGAAATGGGACAGTTTGAGTGGCCAAGGCCTGAGATGGCTGGGGTGGGAGAAGCTGACCGAGGTGTGTGTGGACATGAACTCTGCGGGGTGGGGCCCAGTGTCAGTGTCATTGAGTCACACTGGGGAAGAGTCAGAGTGGAGGCTGGTGTTGGGTGGGGGGCAGAGGAGGCTGTGGGAGGTGGAGGGTGGGCCCCTGAGTCAGGGGGAAGTGAGGGGGAACAGGAAAGTGCAAGTGGCTGGGGTGAAAGGTCGTCCAGGGGAAGGAAAGGCTCTGGTGGCCGAGAGGCACTCAGGGATGAGCGGGAATGAAGGGAAACTGAGGAGCTGGCGGGCCTGGTGACAAGGTGGAGGCCAGAGGTAACGGGTACTCAGTCACAGGAGCCAGAGAAGCCGAGGGGGACATGGTGGGAGCAGCATCTTCCACAAGCTCCCCACAGGGCCTATTGGCTCCAGCAGGCGCTGCTTTGCAGAACTCACCAGAGGGGTCTTGATGGGAGCGCTGACGAAAGCTGCCCTGTTCAGGGGGCCTCTCCAGGTGGCTGCAGGAGATGGGGGCACAGGCTGCAGCCAGGAGCAGGCGGGCAGGCTGGGCGGGGTGGGCACCTGGGACCCAGGGTCCTCCATGGCCCTGACACTGACTTCCCAGTGCTCCTGCTGTCCCTCACCTCAGGGCCATAGCCACACCCTGTCCCATGGCCCCTCCCAGGTCAGAGCCAGGCGGCCTAAGGTGACATCACAGGTTCGGGAGGGAAGAGGACCCTGGAGAGAAGGGGAAGATTCTTTACCTTCCAAGAAGAGTGATTAGGCTCCGAGCCTTTTCCAGTTCTTGCAGGCACTCTCTGCAGGCTGGAAATCAGGAAACAGTCAGATGGTGGAGCAGGGCCAGGGGGTCTTACAGGAGGCTGAGTGCCATGGCCCTTTAAGAATGACACCCAGGAGAGCTGACTCAGGAGCCCAAGCATCAGGGTCAAGGCCACATGACCCCTGACAGCGATGGCAAGGCTCAGGACAGGTAGTGCTTTGTCATTTACAAAGTGTTTCCTATCCACAATCCCCTGCAGCCCTCCCTACTTCCCTGTGGGAATCTGAGCAAAGGTGAGCAGCACACCCACAGCGGGACCTGGAGGCCCCAGCTCCCAGTCAGGCACTACTGGTCCACAGCAGCCCAAATGCCCCTCCTGGGACCCCTGCTAGGGAGACACCCATTCCCAGGCCCTAAGGCTTCGTTCCCAGCATGGAATCTGGGAAGCATCTGCCTTCTCCCTCCTTCCTGGAGCCTCCCGAGGGCTCTGCCCTGGCATCCTCCGGGACCGGGCCCTGGGCCTCAGCGACATGCAGATGGAGGCAAACTCCTAGGCAGGGCTGAGGGAGGGCAGCAGCTCACCTTTCAAAGCTCCATTATTCTTCCTGCAACTTCTCCTCCTCTGCTCCACTGAATGCTGAAAGACAAGAAAAAGGAGGGGCTGGGACTCCATTCTCACTCTCCTCTCTAGACAAGTGGCAGATGCTTGGGGCTTGTGAACAATATGACTTTCTACATTAACTCTGTTTCTTCCTTTTTTACTTGTCATATTTTTTAGTATTAGAGTTTCTTTAATACTAAAATATGTGGATTCTTAGCTTTATTTTCTTTTCTCTAAAAGTATTCAGAAATTCATGGTACAGTGAGTATTTTATGATAGAAATAAAAACATGTTGATTTAAAAGCTGGTTTTTTATTGTTTTAAATTACATTTACATGGGTGGCATTAGACCACATGATCATATAGGTTTCAGGTATGGATTTCTATGTTACAAGATCTGTATATTGCAGTGTATGCCCACCACCCAAAGTCAAATCTCCTGTCACTATGTTAGGACCCCCTTCTCCCCAAGCTCCTTCCCTCTGGCAACCACAACACTGCTGTTTGTGTTCTCAAGTCTCAATTTTATATGCCACATATAAGTGAAATCACAAAGTTCTTAGCATTTTCTGACTGACTTATTTCACTTAGCATAATGTTGTCAAGGCCCATCTATGTTGCTGCAAATGGCTCTATTTCATCCTTTCTTGTGGCTGAGTAGTGTTCCACTGTGTATAGGTACCACATCTTCTTTATCCAGTCCTCTATCGCAGGACACTTTGGTTGTTTCCATGTCTTATCTACTGTGAATATTGCTGTAATGAACATAGGGGTCAATATATCTTTGCAAATACATGATTTTGAGTTTTTGGGTATATATCCAGGAGTGGGATTGCTGGGTCATAAGGTAGCTCTATTCTTAATTTTTTTTGAGGAATTACCAGATTGCATAGTGGTTGTACCAGTCTACATTCCCACCAGCAGTGAATAGGGTTCCCTTTTTCACCACAACCTCTCCAACACTTGTTAGTGCTTGTCTTGTTGATAATGGCTACTCTAATAGGCGTAAGGTGGTATCTCATTGTAGTTTTGATTTGCATTTCTCCAGTTGCCAGTGAGGCTGAACATCTTTTCATATATCTATTGGCTGTTTGTAAGTCTTCTTGGGAGAGGTATATTTTCAGGTCCTCTGCTCACTTTTGATTGGATTGTTTGTTTGTTTGTTTGTTTGTTTGGTGTTGAGTTTTATGAGTTCTTTATATATTTTGGAAATTAAACCTTTGTTGTGCTACTGTTTCCAAAGATCATGTCTGATCTGATTGGCTGCCTCTTTGTTTTGTTGTCCATTTCTTTTGCTGTGCAGAAGCTTTTTAGTTTGATATAGTCTCATTCATTTATTTTTGCCTTTACTTCCCTTGCCTTTGGGATCAAGTTTATAAAATGTTCTTTACAACCAAGGCCCATAAGTTTGGTACCTAAATTTTCTTCTATGTAACTTACTGTTTCAGGTTTTATGTTTAGGTCTTTGATCCATTTTGAATTAATTTTTGTACATGGGGAAAAACTGTAATCCAGTTTCATTCGCTTGCAGGTGGCTTTCCAGTTTTCCCAGCACCATTTATTGAAGAGACTATCTTTACTCCATTGTGTGTCACTGGTTCCTTTGTAGAAAAATTATCTGTCCATATACATGTGATTTTATAGCTGGGCTCTCTATTCTGTTCCATTGATCTGTGTGTCCATTTTTCAGCCAATACCAAGCTGTTTTGATCTGTACTATCATAGCTCTGTAGTATAATTTGAAGTCAGGTAGTGTGACACCTCCATCTTTGTTCTTTTTTCTCAGGATTGCCCTAACTATTTGGGGTCCTTTTTGGCTCCCTACAAATCTGATGATTTCTCATTCTATTACTTTAAAAAATTACATTGGGACCTCGAAGGAGATTGCATTACATCTGTATATTGCTTTGGGTAATATGGCCATTTTAATTATGTTGATTCTTCTAATCCATGAACATGGGATATTTTTCCATTTTGTTGTATCTTTTTCAATCTCTTCTAATAATGCCCTGTAACTTTCAGTATATAGACCTTTCACATATTTTGTTAAGTTTATTCTTAGGTATTTTATTCTTTTGGTTACATTTGCAAAATCATTTCTTTTCTGAAGTTTTGTTGTTAGTATACAGCAAGGCAATGAATTTTGCACATTGATTTGTATCCTGTAACTTGACTGTATTTGTTTATAGTTTCTAATAGTTTTTGGTGGAGTCTTTACGGTTTTATATATTCAGAATCATGTTCACAAAAAGTGACAGTTTGACTTCTTCCTTCCCTGTTTGGATGCCTTTTATTTTGTTCTCTTGCTTTTTTGCCCTGGCTAGGATGTCTAGCACTATGCTGAATAAGAGTGGTGAGAGTGGACATCCTTATATTATTCCTAATCTTAGAGGAAAAGCTTTCAGTTTTTCACCATTGTTTATTAGCTGAGGGTTTATCATATACTAGAGGTCTGGTGCATGGAATCATGCACTGGTGGGGTCCCTCAGCCTGGCCTGTACCCTTTCGCAATCCAGGACCCATCAGGGGATGTTGGACTGCTAGTTTCAGCCGAAACCGGCAGTTCCACATCCCCAGAGAGGTGTAGTAGTGCGTGAAGTGGCAGGTGGCCAGGGAGGAGCCCAAGCCCCAGCTGGGCGCCACGCTGCTTCCACTCATCCCAGCCCTGCTGCGCCTGCCGCCAACGCTGGCACTTGTTAGTGCTGCTGCAAAAGCAGGAGAGGGTCGCACCGCCACAGCCGTGAACCTGGCTTCTGGCTGAGCGGGCTCTCGCTGTGGGAGCACACTGACCACCAGGGAGCAGCTCCTGCGTCGAGTGTCTGCCCTCTGGTGGTCAGTGCATATCATAGCTACCAGTCGATCAGTTTTATATATATAGATGGGCTTTATTATGTTGATGTACTTTCCTTTTATACCCATTAAAATACTAGAGGCCCAGAACTTGTTCCGTGCAACACGGGCTATGGGAGCCTTAGCCTAGGAGCTAATGTGCGAACACTGGGAACTTGTCCCGTGCAGCAAGGGCCCCAGGACCCTGATTCTCCTGGCAGGAGGCAGCACCAAGCACCAGTGACTTGACTGTGTTTCTTATCACCTGCGCCTGAGATCCCTGATTCCCTGTGCATTCATACTAAGAGCCAGTGACTCCAATTCTTGGTGCATGTGCACACAGGAACCCAGATTCTCAATGTGAGGCCGCGCGAAGCAACAGAGACTCTGATACTGGATTATTGGGGAACTTGACTCCTGGTGCACGCTAGGAGGCTCTGATTTACAACACACTCCAGGGGGGTCTCTGTTTCAGCACGGTGCAGGCAGGGTCCCTGATTCTAAGGGCGCACACGAGGCCACATTGAGCGCTGGTAACACTGACTCTGAGCGAGCCTGGTTCCCACCAACCCACCACAACCACACATCTTAGTGTCAGAGCTCTTCAGTGACACTA